GTAGCTGATCTGTTGAGGATAAACTAGTAGGACACAGGTAGAAACAGAGTCCAGTTAGGAAGCTTTTGCAGTAATCTAGGAAAGAGATGATGGTAAGTTGGACTAAGGAAGTAATAGAGATGATGAGAAAATGATCAGATTCTGCAAAGTAGAACTAATAGATTTAACTGATGGATTGTATATGAAAAAGGGCAAAAACAAAGAAGACAAAGATGACTAGCTTGTTGATTTAATTTTTATTAAGTTCAAGATATTTTCTAATTTTCCATGTGTTTTTTCTTTGATTGTAGGTTATTTAGAAGTGTGCTAGTTTTCAAATATTGGAGGATTTCAACATTCTTTTGTTAGTGATTTCTGATTTATTTCTATTATAGTGAAAGAACATACATTGTTTGATTTCAATCTTATAAAATTTACTAAGACTTGTTTTATGGCCCAAAATATAGTTTCTCTCTTTAAATATTTTGTTTGCTTATAAATGATTTGTATTCTGGAGGGTTGGGTAGAGTGTTTTGTAATTATCACTTAGATTAGGTTCATTGATAGTGTAGTTTAAATCTTCTGTATTCCTCATGATATTCTATTTCTCATAGTAATTACATATAGAACTCACTGCTATCAATTATTAATCAATTCTGACTCATAGTGAACCCCATTGGGTATCTAACACTGTAAATATTTACGGAAGTAGATTGCTTCATTTTTCTCCTACAGAGCAGCTGGTGGGTTTGAACTGCCAACCTTCTGGCTAGCAGCCAGTGCTTTACTCACTAGGCTAGCAGAGCTCCCACTGGATGAGGATTGTAAGGATGGCACAAAACCAGACAGTATTTAATTCTGTTGTACATAGGGTCACTATGGGTTGGACCCAACTTAACAGCACCTAAAAACAACAACAGAACTGTTTTATAGGATTTCCAAAGCTATAATCTTTATGGCCACCACTCATCTGCCAGTTTGTTATACTTTGGTGGCTTGCATGTTGCTGTGATACTGGAAGCTGTGCCATTGGTTATTTCAAATACCAGCAGGGTAATGCAGGGAGCAAAGATTTCAGCAGAGCTTCCAGACTAAGACAGACTAGGAATAAGGATGTGGCCAGGTCCACTCTGAAAAAAAAAAAAAAAAGAAAAAAAAAGGTCACTGAAAACCTTATGAATAGCAGGAAAACATTGTCTGATATAGGGTCAGAAGATATGCCTCTCACAATGGAAGGAACTCAAAATACTACTGGGGACAAGCTGAGTAGAGTCAACTCAAAGTAGAGTCAACTTTAATGACATGGATGGGGAAAAGCTTTTGAGATCTTCATTTGCTTATGTGGCATGATTCAAAATGAGAAGAAACATCTGCAAACATCCACTAGTAATCAGAATGTGGAATGTACAAAGTATGAATCTAGGAAAATTGGAATTTGTCAAAAATGAAATGGAATGCATAAAGACCAATATCCTAGGAGTTATTGTTGTTGTTAGGTGCCACTGAGTTGACTCCAACTCATATCGACCATGTGTATAACAGAAAGAAACACTGCCCAGTCATGCACCATGCTCACAATCATTTCTATACTTGAGCCCATCCTGGCCGCCACTGTGTCAATCCATCTCATAAAGGTCTTCCCCTTTTTTGCTGACCCTCTACTTTAGTAAGCGTGATATCCTTCTCCAGCAAATGGTCTCTGTTGGCAATATGACCAAAGTAGGTGAAATGAAATCTGGCCATTCTCGTTTCCAAGAAGCATACTGGATGTGCTTCTTCCAAGACATATTTGTTCATTCTTCTGGCTGTAGTATTTTCATTATTCTTCACCCACACCATAATTCAAAGGCAACAACTCTTCTTTGGCTTTCCTTATGTTTTAGTGAGCTGAAATGGACTGGTATTGGATAGATTGAATTGGACAAGCATATTGTCTACTATGCTGCAAAAGATAAATTGAAGAGAAATGGTGTTGCACAGATCATCAAAAAGAACATTTCAAGATCTATCCTGAAGTACGAAGGCTGGCAGTTCAAACCCACCAGCCACTCCTCAGAAGGAAGATGGGGCAATCTACTTCCGTAGTGATACTGCCTCGGAAACCCAAGGAGGGGTCGCTATGAGTCGGGTACAACTCGATGACACACAACAACAACAACAACAACATCCTGAAGTACAATGGTGTCAGTGATAGGGTAGTATTCATATGCCTACAAGGAAGACCAAAATAAATAAATAAATAAAAATAAACCAAACTCACTGCCATCAAGTAGTTTCTGACTGATAGTGACCCCCATTGGGTTTGCGAGGCTGTCAACCTTTATGAAAGTAGATTGCCCTGTCTTCCTTCCATGGAGCAGCTGGTGGGTTTGAACTGCTGACCTTCTGGTTAGCAGTCAAGTGCCTTATCCACTACACCACCAGAGCTCCTTGTTATTCAAAAAGACAAAAGCCAAGATGAAAAACTTCATTTTTATCAAGTTTGGCAGTCTGAAATTGACCAAACATGCAATGAACATTCAATGATAATTACTGGTAACTGGAATGAGAAAGTTGGAAACAAAGAAGTATCAGTAGTTGGAAAATATGGCTCTGGTGACAAAAATAACACTGAAGAGCACATGATAGAATTTTGTAAGACCAAAAACTTATTCACTGCAAATACCTTTTTTAAACAACATAAATAGTGACTATACATGTGGACTTTGCCAGATGGAAAACACAAGAATCAAACTGAGCACATCTGTGGGAAGAGATAATGGAGAAGCTCAATATCATCAGTTAAAACCAGGGGCCAACTGTAGAAGAGACCATCAATTACTTATATACTATTTTAAGTTGAAGTTGAAGAAAATGAAAAGAAGTCTATGAAAGCATAATACCTAAGGCATTTGACTGCTAATGAGAAGGCTGGCAGTTCAAACCCACCAGCCACTCCTCAGAAGGAAGATTGGGTGATCTACTCCCATAGTGATACCTCAGAAACCCAAGGAGGGGTTACTATGAGTCAGATCTGACTCGACAGCAGTGAGTTTGGTTTTGGATTTTGGTATGAGAGCCAAAATACTACCTTGAATATATCATACCTGAATTTAGGGACCATCTGAAGAACAGATTTGATGCATTGAATACTAATGATCAGACAAGTTGTGGGAAGACATCATAGACATCATACATCAAGAAAGAAAAAGAGCATTGTGGCAGTTAAAGTTATGTATCAACTTTACTGGGGCAAGCTTTTAATTTTGAGGGCTTGGCAGTTATGATGTAGTTATTTTCCATGAAGAGATTGGATGTTATGTAATCACCTCTGTAGTGGAATCTGCTATGAGCAGTTAATCAGTTGAAGGGGTGTGGCCTGCTTCCATTGTATATATGGAAATTATCCTGCATTTGATTCGTCATCATCTTCAGTTCCTACACTTGAACTAGTGGCTTGCTATGTTAACTAATGATCTTGGAATTATTGCCTTTGCAGCCTGAGAGCCAACAACCTGCTGATCCTGGATTCATCAACCTCAGCAGCCAGCAGCCTGTTATAGTGCCTGCCAATATTGAGTTTGTAAGCCCCGTAGCTGTGTGAGTCTGTATAAGCCTACAGGTTGCTCCAGTGGGCCTGGAAGGTAGAGTGGAAGCTCACGGTCTAGGGGTCTCCACCCAGAATCCAGAAAGTCTTCCCCTACTGCCAGCACTCTGAACTTGGACTTCTAGTCCAGTCTTCCCCTAGAGCCAGCACTCTGCAATCTGACTTCCAGCCTCCTGAACTGTAAGAGAATAAATTTTTATTTCTGATATTTCTGTTATAGCAGCACTACAAACTAAGACAATCATTAAAAAGATGGGAAGAAAGGAAAGACTGAAATGGATGTCAGAAGAGGTCCTGAAACTTACTTTTGAATGGAGAGTAACTAAAATGAATGGTAGAAATGAGGAAGTAAAATAACAGAAGATTTCAAAGGGTATCTCAAGAAGACAAAGTAAAGTATAATAATGCAATGTGAAAACACCTGGAGTTAGAAAACCCAAAGGGAAGAACACACTTGGCATTTCTCAGAAAGAACTGAAGAAAAAATTGAAGCTTTCAATTGAAACATTGAAGGATTCTATAGGCAAAATATGGAAATGGACTCTCACATCTTTCTCCTAAGAGTAGGTGGAAGGTTCAGATGACTGACCTTACAGTTAGTAGCTGAGTGCTTTAACCAATGTGCTAACTAATGCACCACCAGAACTTTTTAATTACAAATAAAGAAGTTTGAATTCTCAACTATAATTGTAAATTTGTCTATTTCTCCTCTGAGTTCTATATTTGCTTTATGTATTTTGTGTATTTTATAAATGGCGTAAGCATTTAAGATTGTTATGTCCCCTTGATAGATGAATTTTCTACAACTATTTCTTGCTTTATTAATATAACCAATCCACCTTTTTATTACTCTTCTTTTCTCTTGGTGCTTCTTTCCCTAGATTTGGTATTACAAAATAATTAAGCAGTACTCATGAGGGCAAATCTTTGCAGATTTCCAGAGATATCTCTTTTGGGATTTCTCTCCTCTCTGCTACTGTGAATACTAGCTTCCTTGGTTTCCCTGTACTTCAGCATCTATCTTTTTAACTCAGGAAGATTGCTGGGGTCTGTTCTGATTCCCTCTTACTGTGCAGTAAGTTGGGAAAGTTGTAGAACTCACCTCATTTGTCTTCCTTCCTTTTAGGAATCACTGTTACGTGCTACCTGATGTCCAATGTCTAAAAAATATAATTTAATATATTTTATCTTTTTTTTTTAAGGCAATAAAGTAAATCTGGTTGCTGATTGTTCATATTAGCTCGAAGTGGAAATGTTCTGCCTTGTTTCTCTGTGACAATAAAAATTTTAGGCCTTAAGATAATCAAATATTATTTAACTCCATCTTCAAGTTATGGTATAGATTGCCTCACATATAAAACTTTTATTAGTGTTCTAAAGTCAGAGTTCTATGCTTGGTATCTTAATAGACTATGTGAATAAAAATTCAGCTTACTTTATTTCATTTTGGTAACTCAAATCTTGATGGTTAAGCAGTGTTTCCAGAAGGCTCAAGGTCAAATATAGCCCATGTTTCCCACATATAGCTCTGACCTGCAGATAAGAAAGAATTTAAAGTTTCACAAGAATGAAATTGACGTTTGAATGTCCCTTACATGAATTAGAATCTATATGATTTTGATGAGGAATTAATATTCAGGAGTGTTTTCTACCATTAGGGTATCATTTAGTACAAGGATGTCCAACAGTATGAGTATGATCAACAAGGTATTTTTATTTAATAAACACACAGATATAGGTCATTACTCAGAAGCAACTAATTGTTACATCTTTATCAACTATGAGATGGGTGGTCCAGGAGTAAGGGTTAGCTATAATCCATTATATAGGTATATTACAAAATAATTTTGTATCATTTACTTTAACAAAACAACCATATGGGCTTGTTGTTATTGTTGTTGTTATGTGCCGTCGAGTCGGCCCCAATTCATAGCGACCCCTTCTTGGGTTTCCGAGGCAGTATCACTACGGAAGTAGGATTGCCCAACTTAGCAGGGCTTATATTACTATTTTTATTTTATATGGAGGAATCTTTATTTTAGATGGAGGAAACTAATACTTAGATTAGGTGACTTACTCAGTTTCACACAACAAATACAGTAGATTATTCTAGAAATCCAATGGCCAATAACTGTTGGATGAATGAATAAATGTCATCGCATTTTCTCAAGTGCTTAACATTTTCTGAGTATAGCTAAAAAGCCAGTTCAATTCTCAGATTGCTGGGTTGGTGACGCTTAAATTCAAATATGTTTAACTTTTACAGCTGTGATAGAATGAATTGTGTATTTAGCATACTGGATAAACATACAGACTTTGGAATCAAACCTTGTTTTCAACATTAGATCTGCTGCCTGTGGTCTCTGTGACCTGGGGCAGTTACTAAATCTTCCTATGCCAAATTACTTTAACTACTAAATGAGAATGGTAATTCTTATTACCAGTATTCTATGAAGATTACATGCCAAAACAAACATTTAGAATAGTGCCCAGTTCTTAGAAGGCATTCAATTAATGTTTGTTGAAAGGAAGTTAAGAAGAAAAGTGACAGAGGGAGATAGAGAAACAGAGAGAGAGAGAGAGAGAGAGAAATAAAAATAAATAAGTGTTTCTAATTCAATGTTTGGATTGTACTAAATAGTAGCTACTGTTATTAGAAGTTTAGTATAGTGACATAAGCACTCAGCAGTAAGGAAAAGATCAAAGGTTTGAATCTACCAGCTACTCTGTGTCAGAAAGATGTGGCAATCTGCTTCTGTAAAGGTTAAACTCACTGCTGGCGAGTTGGTTCCCACTCACAGCAACTCCTCCTTGAGTTTCTGAGGCAGTATCTCTAAGGAAGTAGATTGCCCAACTTTCCTTCTGAGGAATGGCTGGTAGATTTGAAAGCCCAGCCTGCTGGTTAGCAGTCAAATGCCTTGTGCACTATGATTACAGCCTTGAGAACCCTAAGGAGCAGTTCTACTCGTTCTATAGGGTTACTGTGAGTCAGACTAGACATGATGGCAATGGGTTTGGTCTTGGTTTAGTATAGTAACTAGATTGTAATCTTCATTTATCTTTGTGGTAGGACAGATAACTAATCTAGGTTTGAATCCTATGTATGTTATTTACTGGGTGTTGGGGACTAATGTCAGGGAAGCTAAATGAGAGAAGAAATGATTAATTTTGAACCTGAAAGATAAAAAAGTATTTGCCAGTAGAGTATTGTGTTGGTAGAATTTCATGCAGAGCAAAAAACGTGTGCACATAAAGAACATGGCACTTTTTGGAAATTCTATCTATTTTGACACTGTCCACTCTACTGTAGTTTTATACACACATCATACTGGGTACCCATTATCTGTTTACTTGTTGAGCTTCTCTATAGACAGTAGCTTACTGAGGGCTAGGATTGTGTTTCATTCACTTTATTATCAACATTACGTAGCACAGTGCTGAAATATAAAAGATCAGTAATTGTTGATTAAATGAATAAATGGATGAATGAAGAGGTGAGTGAATGAATGAATGGGAGCCACTGAAGAATATAGTGTATATGAAGGAAGGCTGGCAAAAAATAAAGTGAGAAAGATAGATATTCGTCATATTATGCCATTATACTCCATAAGTAAGAAATGAATTGTTCTTATGATTAGAGCATATTGATGTATTTTTAAACAACAACATTAAGAGGTTAATCTAAAAACAGCTTACTTCCCCTGGCAACACTGAATTTTGCTCTAGGCTAACAAATGAGCAGCATACTAGAGAGAGTATATCAGGGTTTCTAGAAACAGATTGATTGATAGCTGCTAAGAAATGACTGCTGACATCTGTAGAGGATGCAACAGAAACATGTACAAGAAAACTCTAGCAATTTAGTATTATTCATGATTATTATGAAAATCTTTTAAGTATGAATATTCATAATAATGACCCCTCAGTCAGAAAGAAAAAAAAAATCTTGTGTAGTTCCTTCTGTGTAATAAAGAAATACATTTTTTAAATCAAAAGAAAATGCTATTTGTTATTGAAAATTTGACATTTGAAAGAAAAATGTGTTGTTGTTAGGTGCTACTGAGTCAGTTCCGACTCACAGAAAGCCTATGTACAACAGAACAAAACCTGATGGTGCAATGGTCAAACACTCAGCTGGTAACAAAGGTTGGCTGTTTGTAACCTATCAATAGCTCTGTTGGAGAAAGATGTGGTAGTCTGTTTTTGTAAAGAATACAGGCTTGGAAACTTTAGAGGGTAGTACTATTTTGTCCTATAGGGTTGCTATGGGTTGGAATTGCCTAGATGGTAACAGAAAGTAAATACTTAGTATCGCCAAAGTACTCCCTGAAAGAGTGGTGCACAGACACCGTCTCAGCTTCCTCCCTTCCCATTTATGTCCCCATATGCATTTTACCATATCACTTTATTTAATCTGCCTTTATGAAGTGTTATGGATAACATTGTGTCCCTACTAAAATCTTAAGCCCTCTAAGAATATAATCTTGTTTGGTGATAAGGTTGTTGTCTGAAGATGTGCTCAGTTAACTTAAGGAGATCATATTGGAGTAAGATGGGTCCTATTCCCTTTTGAATGGCTTCTTATAAAAGGGTAAAACACACATGAAGACAAGGTCACTTAAGAAGAGATACTATGTAAAGATGTATCTAAAACCCAAGGAATATCTCAAAATACCTGGTGCTACCAGAAACTGGAAGAGACAGGGAAGAATCTTTCTTAATAGCAGCGAGAGAAAGGTCCTACTGACTACCTAATTTTTGGGAGCTCTGTTAGCATAGTGTCTAAGTCACTTTACTGCTCACCAGAAGGCTGGAGGTTCAAACCCAATAGCCACTCCTCAGAAGGAAGACGGGGCAATCTACTTCCGTAGTGATACTGCCTCGGAAACCCAAGAAGGGTCGCTATGAGTCGGGTCCAACTCGAGGTCACATAACAACAACAACAACAAGGCTCCAGAACTGTGAGACAATATATTTTTGTTTTTCAAAGTTTGTTGTATTTCGTTATGACAACCCTAGGAAATTAAGACACCAATTCACTAATAACCTCCATGTTTTTAAATTTAATGAAAATTTTCCAGCTCTAATTATATTTTTTTTTGTTTTTTCATCATGGAGCACAGGTAATCATGCCATTCTTTACCAAATTCTCATCTCTTCTGATGATCACACTCACATGGGTCCTTCGATTATTTTCAGTCTCTTTGTGGGACTTTCTCTACCCACTCATTAACAATTAGTGTCCTCTTCAAAATTCTTCTCTTCTTACTTTACATTCCATCCTTGGGTAATCTTACCCACTTCCACAACTTTAATTTAACTTTAATAAGGACTCTGAAGTCATCATTTCACTTTAATCTTCCTACTCAGATCAATGTATTCAAAATGGAACCCATCACCTTTCCTCTACCCATCCAAACTACTCCACTCTGTTTCCTAGCTCAGGTAATGGAACCACCATCTACCTGGTTGCCAAAGTCAGAACCTTATAAGTTACTTATGATTCATCTCAATAGAGAGCTTATATATACCAAGACCTCCTTTGCTACTCCACCACTTTTCTGTCAGTTTGTCATGATGTGGTGGCTTGCAGGTTGCTACGATGCTAGATGCTATACCACTGGTATTAAAAAAAAAAAAAATCAGGGTTAACCACGGTGGACAAGTTTCAGTGGAGCTTCTAGACTAAGATAGTCTAGGAAGAGGACGTGGCAAGGTCTACTTCTGAAGAAACTGTCCACTGGAAAACTTGTTCATAGCAGTGAAGCATTATCTTATATAGTGTCAGAAGATTAGCTCCTCAGGTTGGAATGCAATTAAAATAAAACTGAGGAAAAGCTGCCTTCTCACAGTAGAGTCAACCTTAATGATGTGGATGGAGCAAAGCTTGTGAGACCTTCATTTGCTGATGTGGCATGACTCAAAATGAGAAGAAGCAGCTGCAAACATCCATTAATAATTGGAACACTGAATGTATGAAGTATAAATCTAGGAAGATTGGAGGTGGTGAAAATGAAATGGAACACATAAAGATTGATATTAAGATATTAGTGAGCTTAAAAGGACTCCTATTGACCATTATGGATCAGCCAATCATAAAATCAATTCCCCTACTATGCCAGAAATGACAAATTGAAGATAAAATTTCAAGATATATACTGATATAAGGCTGTCACTGATAGGATAATATTCATACACTTACAAGGAAGATTAGTTAATATGACTATTATTCTAATTTGCACACCAACCACTGAAGCAAAAGATGAAGAAATTGAAGATTTTGACCAACTTCTGCAGTCTGATATTGACCAAACATGGAAGCAAGATGTATTGATAATTAATGATGATTGGAATGGCAAAGTTGGAAACAAAGAAGAAGCATTGATAACTGGAAAATATGGTTTGGTGAAAGAAGCCTTCTGGAGACCACATGACAGAACTTTTCAAGACCAACATGTTATTTATTGCAAATACCTTTTTTTCAACAACATAGACAGTGACTATACATGGGGACATTTCCAGATGGAATACAC